ACATTTACAACTTTCAAATCACAAACTATGAACTACAAAACCCAAAAGGATTCACCAACTACTAGACTTAGGCTCTTGATACCACTTGAAGGAAGATTTGTAAAAAACATGTTCATTTAAGCAACATCAATAGCATGCAATTAACAATTAAAGGCGGAATCATGCTTGTATGCACTTAAAAACAAAACATTTACCCATGAAATTCAAAGCCTAGTAGATAGGTGAACCAAGACTCAACTCAAAACAAAGTGAGTTGAGAAATCAATACCTTTGTAGATTCCTCTTTGCATAAGCAAAGGCTAATCACCCAAAGAGAGGGCCTTCATTCCTTGCATCTTAGATCCATGGATTTGGATGGATGAAAAGGTTTCTCCAAGTTCCCAAAATTGAGAACCTCTAATTATTCATCACCAAGGCATAATGAAGAAGAAAATGAGTGACCTTGGAGGAGTTTGATTGCTAGATGATCCCTCCAAGGTTGGCCGAAATTTTAGAGAGAAAGGAGAGCTTGTGTTCTCATCCTTTCCCCCCAAAAATAACCCTTAGTAAATTTTAGGCTATAAAGTCCTTTATATAGTCCCTTCAAATAAGTGACCTAATGGACCAAAAGCCCTATTCTTTTACACATGGCCTATAGGTTTATTGGGCTTTCAAGCCCTTTGTTTTATTCAAGTTGTCATACAACTTGAGTTAATGGGCTTGACATTCAAATCCCATTGGGCCTTGCGGCCCAAAACTAACCCGAGGTCTTTAACGAACTTATTCGTTTGATTAATTAACATATTAATTAATCCTAGCCTTAGATAAATAATTAAACCATTTAATTATTCTTACTCATCTCCGTTGTTTCTTCAAACTCTACCTTACTCGGTGAACGATCCATTAGGTTCCTTTTAGCGAGGCAGTGGGCGATTAAAACTCTTTCTAATCGATTGTGAATTGAAACTTACTTTCAATTCTCCCGTTAGTGATAATACACTTTTAGGGCTTCCACAAACCATGGTTGACGCCTAGCAGCATGTCATGGTTACCCAAGCTAATCAGAAGAGGTGGAGAACCTATTCAGTTTAGGATTACAAATGCAATACGGTCTTTCTCTAATACAATACTCTTGACCACATTGTTTGGTTTGATAATTTATTCATGTCTACTATCCAATGTGAATCTTGTACTTATATGATTACCTTGAATGTGATCTGGAACGCATTCCAACATCTCATTCATACTCTGGCCAGAGATTCTAAATCATATCATAGAGTATTCTCCCTCAAACAGTTTGAAGGTTAGAGATCCCTTGTTGCGCATTCACTTGCCTCCATGGCTAAGTGGCTTAACCCCAACGATGCCATGGACACCCTCATGATGGAGTGACTTTGACATAATCAAAGATTAAGGACCTAACCACAAGACAACTGTGATGCCTCAGGTCAAAAGACTAATTTGCATTATCCCAACCATGAGTTCTCATGTAACATGAATATGAAAACTCTTCGTTGATCGTGTTCAGTGAACTCATTCTCTATTGAGCACCTACGTACTTGTCTTGATGTCACACACACCAATGACTCGAGACTAGTTACTCTCCCTGAGAGAAGACATAGCACGTACTGATCTTAACGGACTGTTAATGCCCAATTGACAATCCTATGATCAGGAACGTTTAGGATGTGTCAACGAAAGAATGGTCTCATGAATCTAACTTCTTTAGATCGCATTCTTCCAATCACATATTCCTTGGACTTATCGTTTAAGCATATAACATTTATATGAGACGGCTCAAACAATAATGTTTGCCCTTAATATTAAACTAGATTAGTTTAACATGTGAAATGTCCATAAAGTATCATCATATGATTGGTTTTAGGGCACATTTCCAACACTGCGGGCCTGTCGACCGTGCCAAACATGGAAAAAACATGGAAGAGACGGACTACAAAGGAAAGGAAAGGAAAATATCGCCAAGTCTTGCGATGTCTCTAAGGATGGAGATGCACATGATTTGAATGAGTGTGAAAGTTGATAGAAGAGAGAGCTCATAATAAGGCTTTTTATTTTGTTGGTTATTGAATAAAAGGACCGTTTCACAGATGTGGACATAACGACATTACCTAGAATGATGCGTCTGAGTTTAAATCTTTTTTTTTCTTAGATTAGTTTAAAGTAAAAAATTGTCCTTAAAAATGAAGTGGCCACATGGCCAAAATTGGACACTCAACTCAGCCCAAAAGCTCTCATAACTCCACATTTGCTAGAACATGTGTTTTCTCTATGCATTCGAGTTTAAATCTCCGTTCTTATAATTTGAATTAATGTAAAGTACAATATCGTCGATACAAAAAGATCATCAATTCTTTTCTATATTAATTAATCTACATCTTATCATCTATTTTGTGGAGTTGACGTAAGCCTAACCCTTTTAATTAATTCCAAAGCACCTAATTATCTACTTATTACATTGAATTTTAATAGGTTGGGGGAAAAAGTACAATGAAAGTAAGATTTGGCCAACAAATATTAGTCCAGTGTTGAGTTACTGTTAAATGGTCCACCATAAAAACTAAATATACAACTGTTCAATAACTAGTCTAAGAGTACTAATAGTTACAAAAAGTACTTCGGGAGCGGGGTTCGATACTTCAAGGCGACCAGTGGATCGATTGGCTGATCCCGTAATCCCGCACCTTCAAGGGCAGAATGGGACTTTAAGCATGAAACAGAAGGGCCAATGACCGTTACTATATGGTACTATATGGCAAGTTGCTCAAACCCTCATGCATAATTATCTCAAGTTTTACTATTATTTTTAAGTAATGCAAAAAACCCTACACACCCACCTTCAACTAAAAGCATACACAGAAAAGCAAGGATATGTTATTTATGCAAGTCCAGAGCTCATTGTTTTGAGACAAACCCAGAAAGATGGGCACTAACTCAACAGAAACATGCACCAAACAGAGGCACTTATAAATTAATGAAATATTGTAGGAAATTTCTATGGTACTTATGAACATCATGCATAATCTTGTAGGAAATTTCTATGGTACTTATGAACATCACACATATCAGTTTTGAGTAAGAATCTGTCAGCAAAGTGATCAATTCACTGATAGGGAAAAGAAGAAAACGTGAATGGTGATAAGATTGATGATAACATAGAATGTTGAATTCTCTACAGGATTTGATTGAACAACAAGAAAATGACGAAGAAAATTAATGAATTTGATTCCATAACCCTTGTTTACTGGAAACGTATCAATAGACTACAACGTTATGCTAATTAGTCTCATCCCACCAAATATTGACTGTTATTAACATTTCATATGTACCAAATTTACTGTAACTATATTACTTATATTTGTGATGACGAAGATGAAACTATGATTTTTCGTAATAGTAGAAAGATGTAGGATGTCTCTATATGTATATTATTGCCTGCCAAAGCATGTAGTGATACAATAGTGTTCCCAATGTTTACAGTTTCCTTTTCTTTCTGAATCTAAATACATATTCCACTGTATATGGTATGGAAAAACATGGACAGATTAATGTAACTAAAAACATGTTCAAAAAACTAATCAAGCACTAAATATTTACCACCTCAGTACTACGCTGTCATGTTCTTGAGAACAGCCCCACGAGACTTTTGCATGAACTCAGTAGCTTGCTTCTGAAAGACATAAATTAACACTGATAACTTCACAGTTTAAGTCACCATACTGAATAAGATTTAGCAGTAACTTTTTATGTGCTTGTATATCTGGTTACAGATATCTTGAGCTACAGGAGTTCAAATGGCACATAATGTACCGAGGAAAACGTTGACCTCTACGAAAAGTTGGATTCGCATAAAATGAGACCAAAACACGGTTACCTTCGATTAAGTTTTAGAACAGAAAATATCTTGCACTTTTACTATATATCTAAGTCCTCTCTATATGTGATCTTCTAAAGGCCAGTCCAACAGAATAGAAAGCTTTTTTTCGTAACTTTTGCGTATTAGGTTAGCGTTCGAGTAGTTTTTCTTTAATACGAGACTGAGCTTTGTGTTCCTCACTGAGCAGTGAGACGACAGATAAGGAACTAAGTTGCACCTTTTGAGTTGATTGAGAAAGTGCTTCGTTACATATTCTTCCTTCATTTATAATAATATGAAACTTCCATCAGAACATCTACTACACTGTTAGGAGCATATTTAGGCGACTTAGTTAGCTTGTTTTCTTACATTTATGTTGTTAGTTCATACTTATTTTAGTATTTTAAGCTATTTTCATGTGTTTATAGGTTCATTTGGCTAAGGTAGCAAGAAGGTGCATTTTGGAGCAAAATTGGACTTGGAATGGATAGCATATGCTTGAAGCAAAAGGGATGGACGAAATTGAAGGATTCCTAATCAAAGAAGGATTCCTAGTCAAAGAAGGTCTCTTACTTGAAGTAGGAAAGTTAAGCCAAGATTTCCTATTTTGGTTTGACCTCTCCTAATCCTAAAAGCCCTATGTTCCAGCAACATTGAAAGATTCTTATGCATTTTAGGACACAAACTAAAGCTTCCTTGCACCCTTATTGCCCTTGCCGTGCATTGCATAAACTTGCCCTTTCCTTGCCGTGCAAGGGGAATGCTTATTCCCTATTTTGTGTCACAAGATCACATTCCTCTTTCACCTTAGTTAATGCCACACCTTGCATTCCTATTCTATCCTAAATCCTTGCCTAATTTCAGTCTTAAAACACATTCCCTTTCCTACTCTTTTTGGCCGCAAGTTTCCTTTCCTTTTTCCCTTTGATTTCTGACTTTATGTCTCCTTTTCCTTATGGATTTGGGGTCTAATTCTTTCCTAAACTATTGAATAAAAGCTAAGACCCCTTTCCTTCAAATAAATAGTCAATGCTGCACCCATAGAGAACCCTATTCACTCACTCACACAATATGCCATCCGTCATCCTTACCACCTACCTTTGCCGCAACCTTCATCCTCTCTTCCACCACTCCCATACTTTCATACCTTCAACCAAACATCCATACACCATTTCTATCCCTTGCGGCACCCCCTTACCAACCTAAATCCACTCCTAACCCAGAAATCCATCCAAAATCACCCCTAAACCCTTTGTGCTGCAGCATAGCAAGGAAGAAGAAGAGAAGAAGAAGCCTTGGACGTTTTTGCATTCAAGTTGGAGTGTTGGAACGGTTTTAGGTGTAATCTATCTTTTGTTTTCAATGTTTAATTCAAGTTTTCTTTGTTTTGTTGTGAACATGAGAGGCTAAACCCGTTTTAGCTAGGGGAGGCTTTGAAACCATGATTATGTTTGTGATATGAATTGATTAATTCCAGTTGTGATTTCATAAATTGTGAATGCAATTTACTTAACCGTTTGATAGATAACTTGTTCTTGTATGTTGATTAGGGAGGCCTACTTAATTTGCATACTTGAATTTGGTGCTAGAATATAAGGGAGTTTCATATAATCGTCACAAACTTATGTTCATAAGTAGTTAAGGTTGTTTTCACAATCATGTTAAGTAAATTCCTAGCATGAGTATCATAATGTCATAGTTACGAATGCTTTATCAATACTTATGATTTTCATAGAACATAATGATTTTTTATTGTATCTCTATTATGATGTCATGTAGAGAACTTTTGAAGAATGCTTTGGGTTGTCGAATGATGTCATCCAATCCAATAACTAAAGGAAAATCCGAGGGTTACTTAGTGATGTCACGGTTAATCTGGGGTGTTGAGGTTCATGGTTTATCGAAAAAGCAACTGGAAATCAATTTGTATTCGAATGTATCATGTGTGGAAAAGAATCCTCTAGCTAGTTAATCATCCATATTTTTTCCTAAATTCGTCCAAATCTTATTTAAGTCTTTTAGTTACTTGTTTTTATCTTAAATTCGTCAAAAACCCAATCCCCTTTCCTTAGTTGAGTCAAATATGTCCTATTGTGTGTTTTTAAGTATTTTGAGTCAAAACCAATTCTATTTTCGTCCAAATTAAGTCCTAGAGTCTAGTTTGAGTTTATTTGATTGTTTTGTGTTGTTTTGAGTCTTTTGAGTTTGTTTTGAGTCATATAAGTTTAGTTAAGAGTCTTTTGAGTTTGTTTAAGTGTTTTTAAGCATATTTTTGTATCTTTGAGTCAGTTTTCATTAGATTAGCAATCCCTCCTAATCCCCGGCCTAAAACGATCCCTACTTATATCGTTCCTACAATTGTCAAAAAGAGAGTTTAATTTGAGTGCTATTATTTATCACATCATACCCTAGTAAGTATTATCATGTTAAAGGTGAATATGGTTTATTTTATGGGGGATCTTCAAATTTCCCTGCCTCAAAATCGAAAATAAAACAAATGATGAAACGAATTATGTCATACAATTTGAAAGAAGCTTTCCCAAGGCGATTTACCTTGTTACCTTTGTGTGCATTTGCTATGTTTTCATCAAGAAGAGTAAAAAAGGATCGATTAAGTTTGTTGGGTTCAACCATCTCTAGTAACTGCATTGTCAAGATTAATTTAGTTGAGCAACATAGAGTACTTAAATATTAAACTTCAAAGTTTGAAGAGTGAAGAGTGAAAAGGGTAGCATACGGTTTGTTTTTACATTCTTTGAAGACATGACTTTGGTCAAACTTAGCTTCGCTTTAATAAGGTCAGTTTGCGTTTCATCATATACTTCTGTAACAAAGTAGAGCATTTCAGTAAGCAGGCAAGAACACCAAGTCTTTCTCGAAAAAGTTCGTGAACTCTCTAACAGACCTGTTCCTTCCTACAGGGCTTTCTGCAATGCTTCCAACTCAATCAGTTATCTTCTATATCCTAGAAAAACCATCAGAAAACCGAATGTGTAGTTTCAATGAGGAACCTGAATACACAGTTTCAGAAATTAACCCAAATTTATATATTCAGTAAGGAACCTTAGTTTTTTAAACAACAAATCGGAGCTGACCAAGCTCATATTTTAGGTGTGAGAAAAATTCCTTGTTTAATCTGCATATAACATATGTAAGGGAAAAAATAGAATTGGGGAAGCAAGTCCGATGTTTTTGGAGAAAAGTTTCAAGAAAATATATAACCTATAAGAACAATAGTGGAAGAAAGGTGGGACTAAGGGTTCAAAATTTAGTGGTAGTTCATTTAACTTGAGGAAACAAAATAACTAAATCATAAAATGTAAATGCTAGATTTATTAATAACTCTTGAACAAAAAGTCACAAAGTCATAGCAAGGGGAACCTGCAACTAGCCCTAGTTTTCAGTAGCAGCAAGTCTTATCGTTGCCCTTCCCACTAAGGGTTTTTAGGTGACTTATTGACGTAAATATCCTTAAATCAAGGAGTGCCATTGAAATCAGGAAAATCTTTTTGTTTAGTCCTTAAATCAAGGAGAAGGTGGCGTGTTCCTTCTCCCTTGTTTTTGTTTTGCTGCTTTATATTGTGCTTTTGCTGTAATCCTTTGATTCATCAGAAATACATAACAAAAACACATTTGTCAATATGGTATCAGAGCAGTGTCCTTCTTAGGCCTGACTCTGCAATTTTTTTTTTTTTTTTTTTTTTTTACCGTGATTTTTCAAATTCCTCTGAGGTTAATATCAACCCAAATCAAAAACTCAGTTCAATTTTGTTGAATGAGTTTAATTATCTTCCTTGGTCAAGGGCAGTTTCTTTGGCTCTTGGTGGAAGGGCCAAGCTTGGTTTCATCAATGGAGTCATTAAAGCACCAGAAATTTCGTCTCCAAATTATGAAACATGGTTGTGCAAAGATCAGTTAGTTATGCCATGGTTGCTAAATTCATGAAGAGGAAAATTGCTGAAATTTTCAGCTATTCTATTTCATCACAACATCTATGGAACCAAGTGAAGGAAATGTATGGCAATCAAAACAACTCGGCCCGTGTCTTTCAACTCAAGAGAGATGCTGTTGGTCTTCAACAAGAAAACAAATCCTTCGTGCAACATCTTGGCAGCCTTACCACTATGTGGAATGAGCTAGATATTTATCGACCTCACACCATAGATGCGACGGTGTTGTTAAAAAGAGCCAAGGAGGACCAAAATTTTCAACTACTAGCAAGCTTGAGCTCAAAGTATGAAGACTTGAGAAGTCACATTTTGATGACTTTAGAGCTTCTATCTTTCTCAAACGTATGTACCACCAGTCAACATGAAGAAGTTAGAAAACAGGTCATCGGATTAGACACCAAAGTGGTCGCACGAGAATCATGAGCATATGCTTTGAATTATCAGTCACCTGAAGTGAAGTTTTATAAAGGAAAGCGCCCTGACTTGAAGTGTGATCACTGTCTTGGAATTGGCTATCACAGGATTGGTCACACCAAGGATCGGTGCTGGATAATTCATCCTGAGTTAAAACCCAAGTTCAACAAGGACATCAAGGGACCATACAGGGTTACTGGTAGTTCACCATACAAAGTTAGTCATATGGCAAACCTGGTAGAGTCTACTTCAAATCATGCCTCTACTAATGGGTTGTTGGATTTTTCTTCAAGTCTTGTTGCTCTAATAAATGAATTTGCTTCGTTTCTTTAACATAAGAAAGGGAATGGAAAGGTTGAAGAGGCAACGGTAATTGAATCCGAGAACCATTATGCAATACTTGGCAAGTTTGCAAGGTTTTTAGCAGAGGCTAAAGGTGTACCACATGAAGCTGTCCCAGGTATTCTTCATGCTCTCTTCACTGCTCTAAATAATAGTTATGTGCATGATTGTTGAATCATTGATTCGGGTGCCACTGACCACATGACAAACCAAAGAACAAACTTGCATGAATTTCAAGATATGTCATCTCAAGTGTCTGTTGCTAACGGAAAAGGAGTCTCCGTTATGGGTAGAGGAAAAATTAGGTTATTATCGAACCAAGTTGAGTCCACTGCCCTATATGTCCTTGCCTTCCCAGTTCAACTTCTTTCCATTGGGAAAATTACCAAAACTATAAATTGTCTTACAATTTTCTCACCAACAAATGTAATTTTTCAGGACCTAGTCACCGGAAAGACGATTGTTGAAGGTTTCTTTCTCAATGTCTCTACTATTTGGAAAGAAAAGATTCTCTGTGCAAAGGCTTCCAAGTTAGTGCAGCCTCAAGTTCAAAATAACCCCAAGATCCACATTTATGGCACCAACGTCTAGTACATCCGTCCAACCCTATTTTGTCTAAGTTATTTCCTACTATGTGTGAAACCCTTATCAAATGTGACACTTGTAATTTCTCCAAATTTGGTAGATTACCTTTCAGTTCTTCTTTGTCTAAAGCTAGTAAGCCTTTTGAAATTGTACATTTGGATATTTGGGGTCCAATTAATGAATCATTTGATGGCTACAAATATTTTGTGACATTTGTTGATGATTTCGCAAGAATTACTTGGTTATATCTCTTGAAATTCAAAAGTGAAGTGTTTACCATGTTTAAAGACTTTCACAACCTTGTTACTAATCATTTTGAGTTCAACCTTCAAACATTAAGATCGGATAATGGCACCAAGTACATGTCTAACAACATGGCACAATATTTGAGCATGCATGGCATATTTCATCAAACAAGTTATGTTGGGATGCCCCAACAAAATGGGGTGGCCGAGAGGAAAAATAGATACCTCCTAGAGAAGACACATTCTTTGATGCTTCACATGAACATTCCTAAGAAGTTTTGGTCACAAGGCGTGCTCACTACCACATATTTGATAAACAGTCTTCCAAGTCGTCTTTTGGGGTTTAAATCACCTACGAAGTTCTTAAACATAGGCCCATAGATTTGTCACATTTAAAAGTGTTTGGATGTACATGTTTTGTGCATATTCAAGCATCTCATCGTGATAAGTTGGATCCCCGATCTATTAAGTGTGTGTTTTTGGGCTATTCTTCAACCCGGAAAGGGTATAAATGTTTTAATCCTGTTACTAACAAGATTGTGGTGTCTCGAGATGTAAAATTTGAGGAGTCCATTCCTTATTTTCACAAAGGAACTGCAGATTCAAGTAAAGGGGAGACTTGGGAGGACTTCATTC